ATTACAAATGCAAATGAAAAGACAGATAGGTAGATATTATTACAAAATGAGACGTATATATTTAAGTTTTTTTCTTTGCCTCATTTAATACATCTCTATATGGGCACCATTACTAATAATGTCCATATAGAGGTTTATTAAAAGATATAAATATATAGGGTGTCCATAAAGGCTCTTTACAATTTCAAAAAATTATTACAAAGGCAAATAAAAAGACAGATAAGTGGAAATTACTACAAAATGAGACGTATATATTTAAGTTTTTTTGTTTGTCTCATTTAATACATCTCTATATAGGCATCATTAGTTGCACGAAGCACATCAAGACTGTACTCGATTTCTTGCCATGTTCGCTGTAGCATATCCTCATCAATGGTGGCAATGGTATCAGTGATCCTCTGCCATAGATTAGTAATGTCCCTTACTTCGATACACGATATCTTTAACATAACCCTATGTGGATGTCCATAAAGTCTCGTTACAATTTCAAAAATTTATTACAAAGGCAATTGATGAGATATCTTCGTCAGATTTATTCCATGTACTCGGTGGTTATCAAGGTTTTTATCACATTGCATTTCAGGAAACCTGTTGATGAATGAAGATACTGTTAAATGAACCCTTTACAAAATGGCTACTCTTCAAGAGAAGGCCACAAGTGTGTATCATGGTTTATTGAAACCAAATCGGATCTGGAGACTCGGCGAAACTTCAGAACTAAGTATGGAAGGGATCCACCGTCACGTCCATCAATTTGTGTATGGCATAAGAAATTTATAGAGACAGGGACAGTGTTCGATAGAGAAAGGACGACCAAGAACATCGATCGCGTAAGAAATCGAGTACCGTTTTTTGATGTGCTTCGTGCAATTAATGGTGTCCATATAGAGGTGTATTAAATGAAGCAAAAAAGAAAACTTAAATATATACGTCAGATTTTGCAATAATTTCCACTTATTTGTCTTCTCATTTGCCTTTGTAATAAATTTTTGAAATTGTAAAGAGACTTTATGGACACCCCGTATATTTATATCTTTTAATACACTTCTATATGAACACCATTAGTAATGGTACCTATACAGAGGTATATTAAATGAGGCAGAAAAAAAAAAACTTAGATATATACGTCTCATTTTGTAATAATTTCCACTTGTCTGTCTTTTTATTTGCCTTTGTAATAAATTTTCGAAATTGTAAAGAGACTTTATGGACACCACAGTAGATTTAGCACCACCTAGATTCCTTCTTCGGAATATGTAATCAAGTACTGATAAACACGTATATTTACAGGCGAGATTACTCACCGGTAAACGAGGTGCCGGACAATTGTTCCGCGTAGAGGCCGTACGGGCATCGTTGAGGATTGTTCTGGCCAACGGGCAGAGCACCGGGGCAACGTTCGTCTTCGCTAGAGAACTCGTTGCCGAATCCTGTCAGATACTGGAGAAGAGAGAGAAGAGAGAAACGCGCGTGTAAAGAGGAACGAGAAACTGCAGTCGGGGTATCGGCGATCGCGAGAGTGCCTACCTTGAACTCGTCCTTCGTCGCGCGACGTTCCTCCATCCTGTCGAATACACCTTCGTTCCGATCGCTTCGCCCTTTTATACGCGGACATCACGTCCTCGACTCGTGCGTAATCGCGATTAAGCGAGATCATCATTATGCAAGGAACGTGTTTAGGTGTTTTGCCGAGTGCGTGGACCAATCGCGTCGCGAAACAGGAGAAGGCGCGACTCGTTAATATACGGAATACAAGAATGGGTGTGCGACGCCCGTGTCTCGCTCGAAAATTAAAAATTCCATGCGCGCGTTTATGGAAGATTTATCGCGCACGTTCTTGGGACGAGCCCTCTGCACGTACGTACGTATATGTAATTTATTCGACTCCTCGACAAGGTCCAAACTAATGAATCCTGTCCGGTCGCTTGTTAAAAATTTGCGATAAACACAAATCTGTTTTTTAGCTCTTAGCGGGCAGAGGCAATGGAAAAGAGCAAGGGGAAAAGACCGAGAGGAAAAAACCAAGGAAGGAAAAGAAAAAACAAGCTACACGTGTACGTCCTGTGAAACCGACGCAAAAGCAGTAATCTGGTTTGTGTGAGCTAATAATAAAGCAATCATTAATTTGCTAATTCACTATCGATCGCTGGTGTTGGAAACGTTTGAAAACAACTCGCGAACGTGAATTGATCGGGAAAAGGGGAAACAATGCGATATCCTGCAGAGTCCGACGTGAAACGAAATCGAAAATCGGAGACTGCTTGCTTTGCGCAAAAGGGGGCAGAGTAACTTTGCGCCTTTCGCTCGCTCGAGAAACTGGTCCTCGCGATCGAAGCTTGGCCATCGAGATTAGAAAATGTCAGCCTGTTCTATCCGTCAGATTGTCGGTCGATCGGTTCTCAGTCGAGTGGCCGATCACCCGACCAAATGAAAACGATCGAAAACGAACGGCCGAACCGGCAGCGTATCGGTATCGTTTGCACGCGGACGCGCAACGACGTTGGAGAAGAGAGAAAGAAGGTTGAGGAGCGAAACGAGCTAATTACGCGTAATTTGCCGCGTTTCAAGCCGACTGGATTGCAGAGAGGTGGGGGCTGTTTACAGTTAAACGAGAGAGGGAGAGAAATCTCGCGACCAAACAGAAGATTCCTTCCCCGGCAACGGGGCAGCCTTTCTTCTGCTCGTTGCTGGAGCGGCGGGGCGCGGAGCGGCAGCGGAATAACGGAGAAGCGACGCGGCGGATGCAGGCCGAACGCTCGTGCTCCGCTGGGCTTGCTTCGGCTGGGCTCGATTCACCAACCGAAGTTTGTTACAATAGTATGTAACTATTATAATATCTTTAATTATACTATCACATACTGTGCACATAGCTACGTTACGTACTATGTTACAGTAATGTTACAGTTATATTACATACTATGTGTATAGTATAATTTTTCACATATATAGTGTAATGGTATAATCTTTTAATTATATACCATTATATACTTAATAATGTAGTTTTTTAATCATACTATTACACACATATAGTTGTAATAGTATAATTTTTTAATTACACTATTACATACTATTTAGATAGGTATATTGCATACTGTATTACAGTAATGTTGCAGTTATATTACATACTGTATTACAGTAATGTTACAGTTTTATTGCATACTGTATTACAGTACTGTTACAGTTTTATTACATACTGTATTACAGTAATGTTACAGTTATATTACATACTATACATTACAGTAATATCACAGTTATATTACATACTATGTGTATAGAATAATTTTTTAATTACATACTATTACACATTTTATAGTATAGTTTTTAAATCGTACTATCGAATGCATGTAGTTACAATTAAAAAATTGTACTATTACAAATTATACTATTGCATGCCATTACATATTATATGTTGTTGTAACAGTGAAATTTTTTTAAATATTGCATACTTATAGTTGTCGTAATAGTATAGTTTTTAATTGTACTGTTACTTATAATAGTTATAATAGTATAGTTTTTTTATTACGTACATTACATGCTATACTATTACATACTTATAATTATTGTAATTATTGTAATATGGAGTTCTTTTGATTATACTATTATGTACTGTACTATTACGGTTTCTTAATTATACTGTTACATACTAATAGCTGTAACGATGCAATCTTTTAGTTATACTTTTAATGTAACAGAACAATTTTAGGGAACTTTTATTTGAACGAGACAAGACTTCCACTCCAGATGATCATTAATGTAGAAGTGTTGCAATACTCTACTGTATTATACCTAGACTGTGGATCCTTTCTGCCCCTGACCAAAGTACCTTAGGATGACTTATACATGAATTACTAATGACAAGTTATCTTGGCTCATGCATACCTGGAACAGGATAGGAAACGGTTTAAGTTAGCACAACTTCCGGCTTCGGAGCTGAAAATCGTGTTTTGCCCAATTGTAAGACGCGAGGCGAGGGCTGAAATGTGTGCACATGCTGCTGGTATACAGGGTGTTTCGTAACTTGTGGAACTCACTTCGGGTCAAGTTTACATTATATCATATATCAAATTATAATTTTTATGTAGGTTTAAGTTTAGATAACATTAGTAACAGTAGTAATGTTCGTGTTTCAATAAATATTCTACAATAAAATTTATATATTCTACATACAACAATCTACAAAAGTCATTGTACACTTTATTAAAAGACCACTTTTATTGAGACTAAATTCCATTGCAGAATTAATATCAAGATGACTAAGATCTGTTTCATTATTGCTTTATACATTAAGAAATAAATATATCATTATACGACAATATAAATACATGTATATGTTTTATTTATGTAAATGAATGTTTTCTAAAAACATTTGTGTAACTTTTCTTCAAGAAAAACATATTTACAAAATACAATGTTTCATAATTTTTGTCAAATATAATAGCAAAGCAAAAATATTAATTTATGAATAAATTAATATTATAACAACTTGTAAATACAGTAATAAATATATGCATTATACAGGGAGCTCATTGTACGCCTAAAAATAATGGAAAAAAAGTCATAATAACAAATATATGTCTTATCTGTCTTCGTTTATGAGATATAATGAATTTTCTATTTTCATTACTTTTACAAAAGATGCTCGAAATGACCACGTTGCATTTGAAGACAAGCCTGCACGCGTCTTGTCATTCATCTGGTTACTCTCTCTCTCTCTATCATTCCTGGTGTTTCTCGAATTTGTCGGAAGCCTTGCTCTATTCTATTTCGTAGTATTTTAGCATGTTCAATCGATGTTGCGTATACGATAGATTTTAAATGTCGCCACAAATGAAAAATCTAATGGATTCAAATCCGGAGAACGAGCAGGCCATGCAATAGGACCTCCACGACCAATCCATTTATTTGCAAAGTG